AACCTACAGTTTCTCGCAGCTCCTCAGAGGCTGAATATCGTGCTCTTGCTGCCACCACATGTGAAATTCAATGGTTGACTTATCTGCTCACAGATTTAAACATTTCTTTCAAGCAACCAGCTCTTCTCTACTGTGATAATCAGTCTGCCCTCCAAATTGCAGCCAATCAAGTGTTCCATGAGCGCACCAAACACATAGACATTGACTGCCACTTAGTCCGTGAAAAAGTTCAATCTGGATTGGTGAAACTTCTACCTGTGTCTTCTTCTCAGCAGCTTGCAGATATCTTCACCAAGTCTCTGTCTCCTTCTCTGTTTTCCACTCTTCGTACCAAGCTGGGAATGTTCAATCTGTATTCCCAGCTTGAGGGGGGGTCTTAATCATAATTAGTTTTTGGATTAGTTTTTACCTCACTGCTGTTACGGAAGCTTCTAGTGCTTCTTTGATATTTTACTTTTCTCTCCCTTTTTCTATTGTATAAATACACACGTTACTCATTCAATAAACAACACAGTACAGAGCAGTGCGTTGCATGCCTGCAATACGTGTCATTCTGTTATGATTTCTCTAATATTTGTCACGAAGCAGGGATCAATAATGTTCCACATTTAAGGGCAACTAAATTTCATTTACTAAACCATATGTTAACATCAATCACTGTTCATTGAGTTATCAAGGATTGTAGTGAATAGAAACGCCAAGGAGAAGCAAAAGACACACCTCTCCAACAACTACTGTGTCCCCTTCCTTTACACCAAGTTTCATGAGAGACTTGTACACACCACAAGCCTCAAGAACATGTTGGAATCTTCTCTCCGAGTCAATGTACCTGTTAAGAGATCCACATATCTCAATGAAACTATACACAAACAGGTGTTACAATTTCAAGCATAAGGCTTGTCCTAATACACATTTTTTTCTAACACATCAAGAACCAGTCAAGAGAAGGATGGCATTTCAAATCTTATTTGTTCACACTATGATTATTGCAAGAGTATGTTTTTGTTCTGACATCTTCACATAAAACGTGAAAATTTGTGCAAGAAGCTTCGTATCAGTGATGGTAAATGGTTTTGTAAACAAATACAGAATGAATCCAGGGTAATAATTTCAACACATTCAATGTGATTAGAAGGTATACCGCGACATATATGTGTGTGTGAGTGCGTGTTTATTTAAGATAAAAGAATAAAAACAAATTGGTGATAAAAAAAAATATTGAGGAATGTACTCCTGTCCCTATCACCTTTTACTGTTTAACCTACCTCCAATTTGTCATCTGAATAAATCTTTGTAGTCCAGATCCAACTACATGCCAAATATTTGAATCACTTTCATGAAAAATCTCAAAATCACTGATGGATGCATTCCGCTGCCTCTGTACTGCATCAGCTACATGATTCAAGTTTACCATATCTTTTCCATCTGAAACAGGTCAAATTTGTCCAAATACAAAGAGCTTATTAGAGAAAAAAGAGTGTTCAGGTGATGTGACAATAGTATATAAGATAAGTTTAAAAGTAATTATAACCTTCGTATTCCTCATTTTCTTCTTTACTTTTACGCAAAAGCTCATACGCAGCAGAGATAACTTCATGAGTACCTTCCCTTGTAACAGCACTCATACAAAAAGGTGTGATCCCACGAGACTGCAAATTTTCTTTGAAGGATTCCCAGTTTTCATATGCTTCTGGAAGATCCATTTTGTTAAAAGCAACTACAAAAGGCTTCTCAGCAAGTTCAGGATTGAATAGTTTTAGTTCTAGACGAACTGCATCAAACTCAAGGTCTGGCTGCAGTGACGAACCATCAACAACATGTACCTGAAACCAATTATATATTGTCTTAAACTAAACAGAAGTTTTCAGGGTGAGAAACATAAGAAGCAGAAAAAAAAACCAATGATGTCGCTGATTAATTGTTAGAAAGAAAAAAAATTAAAGCACATAAAATACTTGTAATCTACTCCTGTTCTAGCTTTCTGAACCCCTGGAAGCTGTGTGGTAACTCTAAAATTGAACCTACCAGATAAAAGATTTTGAAATGTAGCTATATCTACCTATATAAATCATAAAAAAGCATCTCTACTGAAAAGTGCCTACCAGGGCAGAACACCTCTCAGTGTGGCGTAAAAACTCGTGGCCTAAACCAAAACCTCGGTGTGCCCCTTCAAGAAGACCTGGAAGGTCTGCAACTACCATGGTTGAATCATAGTCAAAGGAAACAACACCGAGATTTGGAAGCAGTGTAGTAAAGGGATAATTAGCCACCGCCGGCTTTGCAGCACTAACAACACTCAAAAGTGTACTTTTTCCCGCATTAGGAGCACCAACTATACCAACATCCGCAACGAGCTTCAGTTCTAACTCCAACCACCTGATCAAAAGAAACCATCATTCTAACATAACTCTCATACGGTTCCAGCAAACTTGTTCTCTCTTTCTAAATGCAAGACAAATGGTAGCTTTCATGTCAACAAAACAAATTGCACCCTTCACATGTTGATAACCCTATGGTTTGCAACAATGGTTCCTGTTTTATTTTTAATAACAAAAATGCTGTCTGTTTCAGAACACTAAAGGGTCCTAGACATGCAGGGTAAAAGAACTCACATTTCATGACCCTCTTCGCCGTACTCCGCAATCTTGGGGACCTTATTATTCCCGGACTTGAAAGAAGCATTTCCTCTACCTCCTCTACCACCAGGCAATACCAAACCTTTCTGCCCCGGATACACCATCTCCAACAACACATCATCTTCTCCACTCATCCGAATCAAGGTTCCAGGTGGCACCTTCACCACCACGTCCTCCCCCTTTGCTCCACTCTGCAAGCTCCCCTGCCCGTGGGACCCTCTCCCTGCCCGGAAATGCACGCTGTTCCGAAACGGCAGCAGCGAGTTCATGGCCCCGTCCACCTCCACGTACACGTCGCCGCCCCTCCCGCCATCACCCCCCGAAGGTCCCCCCAACGGCACGTACTTCTCCCGCCGGAACGCCACCACACCATTCCCACCGTCCCCCGCCTTCACATATATCTTAGCCCGGTCGAAGCATCGCATCACCGCCGGCACCCCCTTCTCCTTTTCGCTCGGATACACTTCCTCCACATTCTCGTCTCCCGAATACTCGAAGGCTTCAACCTCGCCGTCGCTTTCAGGTTCGGAATTGGCATTGCCTTCGAAAACGTCGCCGTGTTCCCGCTGAGTTTGCCGTTTGCGATTGCGGAGGAGGTGGTCGATGGGCGGGGTCGCTTCGGAGAGCTTGATTTCGGGAGGCGAGAGAGGGGAAGAAGAGGAATAGTCGTGCTTGAGTGGAAGACGAGTGTAGGTGGTGGCTTCGCCGCCAGGGACCACTGGTTTCTGAAATTTAGGGTTTCGAACTTTGCTGCGATTGGCATTGCGACGAGCGAAGGATTGGGGAGTGAAGCACGCAGAGACAGAAGAAGCCATTTTCGCATAAATCTTACGAAACTCATCATCGTCTCAACTCAAGTAATGTAAAACTCAAAAATATCAATTGGATAAGGCCACGCGTGTTACAAAACTCAATATGTCTACTTTTCTTAATTATTTTGTAAATTACCAACAATTTTCTTAATTTTTTCCAACAAGTTTCGTGTTGGACACAAATTGAATATATGTCACATTTACGTTAAACAGTATTTAGAAGTTTATTTTAGTCTCATGGAATTTATTTTAATCTTGTATCGTTATTTAGTTATATAAGTTATTTAAAAGATACACAAATAAATATATTTCGTAGTGTAGTGTGAACATTCGGTTAATATTAGTCAAAAATATTGTGTTTAACAACGAGAAAACAATGGTAATTTTGATGTTTGCCAAATTAAATGTGTTTGATTTGCAGATTGTATAAAGGTAATTCAATTACTCATCATATTATAATTTTTTTCGAAAAGTTGATGTATAAAGGTTGCAACAAAAATTAAAAATTTTGATAACATTTATGACTTGTCTTAAACCTTTTGAAATTGTAAAAAAAAAATGGTTACTTTATAAATCAATTTTGGGCTTCAAGAAAAAACAACAAAAAAAACTCAGATTATGGACTTAGATGCGTCATTTCACAGTACATCTTTCTTATAACTATTATTTAATGTTTTTGAAAAGTTTGGAAATGTATACTTTGTATATGAAAATTTTCTTCGTATTGCAGATGAAAAAATTATAGAATAACTTGAAATCATTGTGCAAAGACAATATAATATAATATTTATGAATTAATTATATTTTGTCGTCCCTAAACTATTAAACTGATTTTAGTTATTATTTTAAAGCTTGATCTTATGAGACTCTCAATTTTACAAAATTCATGAAATCAATCATTAATAATTAATCATATTAATGTTTTTCTTATATGGAAAACAGAATATCACATTACCACCTCGTTACAACGTGGAAAATGAGAATGATGCTGGTGGTATTGAGGATTAAGAGTTAAGAAATAAAGTGAGAATGATGTTGGTGGTATTAAGGATGAGGAATTAAGAAAAAAAAAGTGAAGAAGGTGAATGATAATAAGAATGATATTGATGTTAAGGATGAAGAAAAAGAATAAGGGTTAAATGGAGATGTGACACTTTATTTTGTCACGTAAAAAAAATTAACTTAATTGGTCATTAAATTGATTTTATGTATCTCATAAGGATAAAACATTTAAAATCAAATATTGAAACACATTCTAAAACTAAAATCGCATAATAATATAAAAATTAATAACATAATTAACTTAATATTAATCATTGTGCTGTAATACCTAATTTAAATTTATATTCAGAAAATATTAAAATTTATTTTTAGTTTATACACAGTGTTATTCTAATTTTAATAGAATATTTTAAAAGAAGTTCTCAAAGACCAATTAAATAAAAAAGAACCATGAACAAAAGCTAAATATATAATAACAGCTAAAAATATATTTAAAACTTTAAAAAATTACACCGATATTATTGATATTTTACCTGTTATAAACACATTAAATAGGTATGACACTCCATCTAGCTGCTATTTCAACTTCTATTCAATAATAAGGGGAAAATTTACTATTATCATTTAATGATCACAAAATCTTTTAAGTGTTTATTTTCAAAATAACAATTATACATTTATAACATGAATATTTTTTAATCTATAATATTTCCGTGGGTTTTTTGGGATCTATTAAATAGTGTACTTTATTGTGTAACTGATAAAATATGTATTTTTATTTTACTATGTAATACAAGAGCAAATAATGAAAGAAAATTAATAAGAAACTATAAATAATAGATAGCCGTTGCTGTTAATAAATATAGTTCAACACTTACACTAAACCTAGTTTGCATCTTTTAAGGAAGATATTAATATTAAGTGAAAATTGTGAAGTTCATATAACTCCGCTCTAATCCAAAATTATTTTGCATCACACTTGAGTTAGAAACTCAAAATTCAACATTTCAAAATATTTTTTCCTTGTCTTTTTTTTTTCTCCCTAATTATAAATTAAAAAAATAAAAAAACTTAAATAAGAGTAAACAAGTCTGAAATTGATGACGAGTTTTTCGAGTAACAAACTACATTTAGGTCGCAGTTCAATGTCACTGAAAATTAATTTATGCAAATATTTTGGCCATAATTAAAAAAAAAACAAGTGACTTCTTGTATTAACCACATGATTTTATAAATTGTTGATTATACAATTTTTTATTAGATAAAACAATCCTCAATCAAGACTCATCCTTTAAAAAAGAGATCATTATTGATTATCCAATTTTAAAAACTTTTAACAGCATTTTTTTATTTATTTATCATTGAATAGTTATTTTAAAAATTTACCTGAATTAAAAAATTCCAAAAAGTCTTCAAAATTTTAGGGCGTTAGATCAAATCAAATTTCAAATATTTTCATATATATACAGAGAGATTCAGAACCTTGTTAGTTTGTTACTGTTTGCATTGCATTGCATCAAGTTCAAACCCTTTGAGAAGAGAGAGAGAGAGTGAAGATTTTAAATAGAAGAACCGAGTGCTCGTCGAAGAGCACATACAATGGAAGTTCCGAAAGATCAAATCGCCACTCTTCTGGAACATGGCCTCTACAACTCCGCTCAGATGCTCGTAATCTTTATTCTTTTGTTCTTGTACTTCCAATTCGTATTTGAAATTTTGATTCCGCATAAAAAATGGTTGTTTTTATTTATTTATTTATTTATGGGCTTAAGCTCTAATCTGAAGTTTCTGTGTTGAACAGGGTTGTTTTCTTGTTTCTTCTCCTGCTGCAATTGCTGAATCTGTCCCACACCTCAAAACTGAGGGCTTGGTCTCTGCAAATTTTCATTTAAAGAAAAATAATAATCATGTTTTGTAATTTTAAATCTATGAGGAGCTCGTTGAAGCTTGTAGGTTGGCTTTTTAATTATTTATTTATTAATTTGTTCAGGTGCTACTTGGTGATTGTTTTTTTCGTGAAAGGGAGTATCGTAGAGCCATTGTAAGAGACTGTGCTATCTTTTTCTCCGTTTTGCTTATGCAGTTGGAAACAATTGCTTATCTGTGATTCTGTTATTTCAAAACTTTTGTTTAATGGGTACTTCAAAAGTTGTTTTTTTGGGTGGAGAGGTGATGTCTCTCTCGTCATTCTTTTTTTATTCTCTTTTCTTGATGGACAGCACTCCTATAAACAAGCGTTGCAATACTACAAGATGATTCCAAAACAGAACATGACTTCTCGAGGTTCATTGACGTTGAACCGATCTTCGTCTCCAAATTCTTGCAATGGATCAGTAATCAATGAGAATGAGGTAAATTGGTGTTAGCGTTTCTTTGGTCGATGATGGCTGGGGTTGATTTGATGTTAACTTGTAAGGTTTTGCAAGTCCAGGTTTTTATATAGTGTTTTTCTTTTTATCTCTTTGACAGGTGAAATTCAAAATTGCATCATCTCACTGTTTTCTGAATGAGAATAAAGCAGCTCTAGTTGAGGTTTGTTTGTTCTATTCTCTTATTTCCACAGAACGGACTCATTAGAGTGATGTCTTTTTAACGTGTTGGTGTAAATTGAAAGATTGCCAATTCTCTATTTATGGAGGGATTAACAATGGAAACAACAAGCCTTTAAGTGCTGCTTTGTGCATATTTTGTCAGTCAAGAATGTGGAGTTTTTTTAATGAGAAACAAATGTCATGAAATTTTGTATTACAATCTTGATTTGTTTTCAATTTTTCATTCCTTACGAGTTATCTGTGTCACTTTCTCATTACAGATGGAAGGAATTCCCAACAAAGCTAGAAATTTGGCAATGAATTTGTTATTAGGAAAACTATATCGAGTTTCAAGGCATAGCCGAGCTGCTGTTGCTATTTACAAAGAATGTATAAGGTTTGTAAATATGTAATACACTTATTAAACCTTTTATATGTCACCGATAGGGTTGTCTTTGAAAGATTTTTATGGATCTATTTATCTGTTTTTATTGATTTGTTGCAACTATATTGCATTTTGACCTTCAGCCTTCAGGCTTGATGTCCACTAGCATCATTATGTCTGAACTGACGGCGTTTGCTCTTGGAAAACACAATTGTGTTGCTCATTAAGCTACATGGTTATTAAATTTTTTATGAACTTGTTGAAGTAGTCAGGCACTGTATTTTGATATAGGGTGAAAAGGCAAGAAGCTTGCTTTCAGAAATTCTGTACAGCCATATAAATAATCTCAATTTATTCTTTTGTGTCTGTTTTTTTTCTTCGTGGTTTGACTTCTCCTTCTCTGTTCTTTTATATCTTCTTAAAGCTTTTATGTCATTTGCATTGGAGCTCCGTTTTCCATTTCTTTTTAATTTTGACTGCTTGCTTTCTTTTTGGGTAGTATTGAGTGTGTTATGGAGTTATGTAAGTGGCTACTTGCTTTTTAAGCTTTGTGCATTTGCATCTTTCATATGATCTATATTTCTACTTATTAATTTGCTACTTGAGTTTTGTCAACACCCAGCGACAAGTTTAAGATGAAATTCTTTGTTGATGTCTTTTTGCCAGGCATTGCCCGTATATACTTGAGGCCATCACAGCTTTAGCAGAACTGGGATCTACTGCAAAGGACATCATTTCATTGTTTCCTCAGGTTTGTTGATAAAAAGCTGAAAGATTTTTTTTTTTTTACTGAAGCTAAATAATAGAGATTCGGCCATTGATCATCTATGAGATGATTCTTTGATTTGCAATGGAATTCGGTATCCATTAAATTATGTCTTTTCTTGCTTTTCTCTAGGCAATTGTTCCTCAGCTATAAGAAGAAACTTTACAAGTAGGCTGATGTGTTTTTCTATTGTTGAGGAAGGAGGTTTGGGTATTTATAAGACTCAGCCCTCTGGGTTAACAAAATCACTTTAATGGGTTTTGGTTTCTTTCCTTTTATTAACTAGATTATTAGGCGGTAAGAAGACAAACAACTGTTAACCTAAATTTGTGCATGTCCTGTGAACTATTTTTCTGCTATTTGAAC